ACTGAACTGCCTCTCCTGGATATATTCATAGAATATTAACCATCACAGAAAGGGGTTGTGAAGAGCAAACTGAATGAATAAAAGAGTCACTTACTCAAGCGTTTCTATTGCACATTCTGGATATTTCAGACCCTCACATAGCACTTCCATTGCTTTGTCATCTAGATTCCCGAGGGACAAATCTAATCTATTCAATCTCTCATTTTTTCTGAGGACTTCTGCAAGATGCCTGCTGGAGGATTCGGTCAGTATCTCTCCAGAAAGCCTGTGGAGAATAGCAAGAAAAATTAAAAATATTTTGTGAAAAACTAATAGGAATGTATTCTTATAGCAATTGAAAGGAATGTGATTATGTAAGGCAACTGAACTGCATCTCCTGGATATATTTATAGAATATTAACCATCACAAAAAGGGGTTGTGAAGATCAAACTGAATGAATAAAAGAGTCACTTACTCAAGCATTTCTATTGCACATTCTGGATGTTTCAGACCCTCACATAGCACTTCCATTGCTTTGTCATCTAGATTCCCAAGGGACAAGACTAATCTATTCAATCTCTGTTTTTTTCTGAGGACTTCTGCAAGGTGCCTGCTGGAGGATTCGGTCAGTATCTCTCCAAAAAGCCTGTGGAGAATAGCAAGAAAAATTACAATTATTTTGTGAAAAACTAACAGGAATGTATTCTTATAGCAATTGAAAGGAATGTGATTATGTAGGGCAACTGAACTGCATCTCCTGGATATATTTATAGAATATTAACCATCACAAAAAGGGGTTGTGAAGATCAAACTGAATGAAGAAAGAGTCACTTACTGAAGCGTTTTTATTGCACATTCTGGATGATTCAGACCCTCACATAGCACTTCCATTGCTTTGTCATCTGGATTCTCGAGGGACAAGTATAATACATTCAATCTCTGGTTTTTCCTGAGGACTTCTGCAAGATGCTTGCTGGAGGATTCGGTCAGTATCTCTCCAGAAAGCCTGTGGAGAATAGCAACAAAAATTACAATTATTTTGTGAAAAACTAACAGGAATGCATTCTTATAAGAATTGAAGTGAATGTCATTATGTAAAGCAACTGAACTGCCTCTCCTCGATATATTTACAGAATATTAACCTTCAGAAAAAGTGGTTGTGAATATCAAAATGAATTGAAAAAACAGTCACTTACTGTAGCCCAAGCCATACTTGGCAATTACGGGATCCCTGCTCCATGATGAAAACACCTCTAATTGTACTGGTATTGTCACCGGTATCATGGGGTGATTTATCAATGGGTTTTCAGCTGTTCTGCTGTCACTCTCATCTTCAGGTTGGGGTTCCCTCACCATTGCCCAGTGATGGGGTAACCTCAAGAACCTCCACTCCCTTGTATGCCATTTCTCATGGTCTTACTGGACCTTTACCCTGTCATTGTGTGGGTTTGGAAGCTGCCTGGGGTGCGTGGCAGGTTCCAGAACTCTTGCATGAAGGTGACCATGGGTTGCTTGTCCTGCTTGATAGTTTTGATTTTGGTTCTAGATTTTTGATCAGGGGTCTAAAGGCCCTGAGGGGGTCTTCGAACCACTTCGAATCATAGGTCGTGAACCTGTCAAAGTTGTGTAGCTCTGCCACATC